TTAAGATTGCTTTTCAAGATTTAAATTTAGTTCTTAAGAAACTTTGATCCAGGGACAGAAAGAATGGGCAGCTGCTGCAACATATTTTTAACATGTTTAGGTACTTATTTGTTGGAGGTATACTAGAAGTCATAGTTTCAGTCACTGACCCAGAAAGAATGGAATACCTTGAGGGGACTGGGTGTGGTGGTAGAAATGGAATGATTATTGGCCTTTTACTGCCCACCTCGATAAAATACTACACGTTTTATTTCCTGTCAACAGTATTGATAGCTGTTTCAAAACAGAAAAATGGTTTCGAGAAAAACAATTATATAGGAAAAAAGTTCCTTGGTTTTTCTTTACAAGTCTGGGGGCAAATACAGAGAAGAACGTTTACTTATGTGTAAATAAACTTGTCTAAAAATATGTTTTTTGTGTGTCTTATAAACGGCTTTCTTTTTCAGAAATAAGAAAGGTACAGTTTTAAAGTCTTGGATTTCAGGGTTATGGGCTGATTCTATTTGGAGTTTGGTGCAAAGATCTGAGACTACACTGAAGATGTGGGACTAGAAGAACTGAGGATAGAATTAGGCTTCTGAGCACAGTAGCCAGAAAAGTGGGTGACTGGGAGGAATCTGACCAGTAGTGTTTGTCTGCACATAGACACACCTCTAGCTAGAGCTTTTAGGGCTCTCCTGGGTGAAAGATTGGAACTCTCGGAACAAATGTGAGGGACTCCTTGGAACCCACAGGCTTAGATCTCCTTGATGGAGAATCTATGTCCTCATCATGGAAGAACTACAGAGATCTCTGCGTCCAGGAGTCCACCTGTGTAGGCAATTGATTATGGCATTGTAGACAAAGAGAACTTAATTCCTGGACACAGGGAAGGCTAACTCTTGCATTATCTAATTGTTCTATTGGAGTCTAATGGAAGGGGCCCAGGATCTCATGTCACAAAGTCTGTGTTCTAGTCTCTCCCCTGACTAAGGTCACTCACCACTACATACTACCCACTGCCTAATATAGACTTTGTTTGACACATAATAGGCAGTCACTATATATCTGAGTCAGTTAATAATTGATGCATGAATATATAACCATGGAAAAGTCACTTGATCTCTCTGATCTTCGTGTTTTTCTGTTCATCTATTAAAAAGGAAGTTTCAGCTCAATTAACTGGGTCTCTAGTTCTGAAAATACTGCATTAAAAGTTAGATACAATCATCTTAAATAATCAGCTCCATCATAAACACCAGAACAAACTTGGGCATTGAAATCAGGTGGCATTTATTGATTTCAGGGTAGCAGGGTACATAGGTAATCTAGATTATTTTTATAATAAAAGCATGATAAAGAATTTCTTATAGAAAAAGTAACTGTGGCAAAATACAGCTACTTGATGAATCTAACAATGGTAATAATAAAATATTGGATAAGTTAAATGTTTAGTAAAGATAAGGTATCTAGAGATTTATAAGTTTTTTAAGTATTTAGCCATAGAGATTTGTCTCCATTTGAAAAAAAAACATACTTTTTTAAAAAAAGATTTTATTTATTTTTGGAGAAGGGGAAAGGAGGGAGAAAAACATCAGTGTGTGAGAGAAACATTGATGGATTGCCTCTCACACACCCCCAGCTGGGGACCTGGCCCACAACCCAGGCATGTGCACTGACTGGGGAAATGAACCAGCGAGCTTTAGGTTTGTGGGATGATGCTCAACCCACTGAGCCACACCAGTCAGGGGCAAAAAAACTTCATGCTTTTAATGGATGAAATATTCTGTGAAATTTTTATTATAAATGTAGAGAAACTATGAAGGATTGTAAAGAAAGACTGATGAATTTCTCACTTTTTTTTTAAATGAATTTTCTTAAATTGAGATGCTGATAGTTGGACTATCTCACCCTGTCAGACATAAACTCCTGTTCTCTTCGGTTGATGGTGATGACTGGTATGTTTTTCCTTGATGACAGTGTAATTTAAAAAAGCTGCTATCTCAGGTTTTACTCTACTATAACATAATTGCTGATCCTGCTTTCTCTGTACCAAGTGGTACTTTCATTGCTTTATATTGAGTATTTATGTGTTCCATAACTATGTGTTTCATGTATTTAAGTGCTATAGAAATTGTATATATTTAAGGCAATGATTTGATATATGTATACACTGTATGTTGTGAAATGATTACTACAAAAGGTTAGTCATCCATCACCTCACATAATTCCCTTTGTTGTGGTTACAGCATTTAATATCTATTCCCTTAGCTACTTTCAAGTATATAGTAGAGTATTGTTAATAATGTTCATCATGCTATACATTTGATCCCCAGAATTTATTCATTTTAAAACTGGAAGTTTTCGTCCTTAGACCAGTGTCTCCCCATTTTTCCTGTCCGCAGCACCTGGCCACCACCAGTCTACTCTCTGTGTCTGTGAGTTCAGCTTTTTTAGATTCCATGTAAGAGTGAGATCCTTACAATAGTTGTGTTTCTCTGACTTACTTCAGTTGTTATAATACAGTCAAGGTCCATCCATGTTATTCCAAATGGCAGGATTTCCCTTTTTTTGGCTGAATAATATTTCATTGTATTATATGTACCATGTTTTCTTTATTCATTTATCTCTTGTAGATGAGGCATGGTTGTTTCCATGTCTTGGCTGTCGTAAGTAATGCTGTATTGAATGTGAGGATGCAAATATTTCTTTTTTTAATTGAATTTATTGGCTTAGTATTGGTTAATAAAATTATATTCAGGAATACAGTTCTACAATACATTATCTGTACATTGTAGGTGTGTTCACCACCCCAAGTCAAGTCTTCTTCCTTTACCATTTGTCTCCCTTTTACCGTCTTCTACCTCCCTCCACCCTCAGATGCCTCTGGCAATCACCAAACTCTTGTCAGTGTTCATGAGTCTTTCTTTTTTTCCTTTGCTTAATCCCTTCACCCTTCTTACCCAGCCACAAACCCTCTCCTCTCTGACAGCTGTCAGTCTGTTCTGTGTATCCATGAGTCTGTCTACTGCAATCATCACGTAGGTGCGAATATTTGAGATAGTGATTTCATTTCTTTCAGATATATACCCACAGGTGGAATGTGCATATACCTACATGTGTAGATCAAATGGTAGTTCTATTTTTAATATTTTAAGGAACTGTGTACTGTTTTCCACAGTGGCTGTACCAGTTTACATTCCCACCAATGGTACACAAGGGTTTCCTTTTCCCCATATCCTCACCAAACTTATCTCTTTTGATAATAGACATCCTGGCAGGTGTGAGGTGATATCTCGTTGTGGTTTTGATTTGTGTTTCCCTCATAAATTAGTGATGTTGAACACATTTTCATATAAATATGGGCCATTCGTTCAGGTCCTTTGTCCAGTTTTTAAACATATTATTAATTTTTTGGTTATCAAATTATATGATCTTATGTATTTTGGATATTAACTCCTTATCAGATAATTTGCAAATGCTGTTCTGTAGGTTGCCTTTACATTTTGTTGATGATTTCCTTTGCTGTGCAGGAGCTTTTTAGTTTGATGGAGTCCCACTGTTTTATTTTTTATTTTGATACCCTTTCCTATATTTTCTTTTAAGAATTTTATGGTTTTAAGTCTTGCATTCAAGTCTTTAATCCATGTCGAGTTGATTTTTGTGTATGATGTAAGATAGTGGTCCCGTTTCATTCTTTGCATGTGACTGTCTAGTTTTCCCAACGTCATTTGTTGAAGAGACTATCCTTTCCCTATTCTATGTTCTTGGCTCCTTTGTGTTAAAAATTAATTGACCATATATACAGTGGTTTATATCTGGGCCCTCTCTCCTGTTCCATTGATCTATTTGTCTATTTTTATGCAAATACCATACTCTTGATTACTATAGCTTTGTAATATAGTTTTGTTACAGAACCCCTTGAATTCTGTTACTCTGGGTTCTTTTTGCTCGCTACCAGTAAGAACTGTGGCCCTTGATGCCAGAGTTTGGTAAAAAGAAAAGGAACTATGTATTCCAAAATTACACAGGTTTAGAATAATGGCAGAATTCTGCTGTTAAATCTCACTTCCTTTAGAAACAAAGAAACACCCACAAACCCACAGTCCTGTGCCCCCTTGCCAAACCAGACCAGTTAGAGGTGCTGTCTCTCAGGAAAAGAAATAGAAGTCTGTAACTTAGCTGGGCAGGTTCCCATCTGTGTTCTGGCCTCCTCCAGTGGTCTGTGCTCAACCAGGCTCCTGCTTTTAATCCAGAACCACATCCTCATGGTGGCCTGGGGAATCCTTCTGCATCCTGTCAAACCTCGTGGCCAAGACCCGGGACTGCTGCTCCAGGGTGAGGCTTCTCCTTCCCCAGCCACATGGTCAGGAGCAAGCATGGCTGCTACATCCTGCTTTTTCTGCTTCTGTCTAAGCTGTGTGGTCAAGAGAGGCCCCTCTGCACTTTCAAATGGCATGGTTGAGCACCTGGGTTTAAATCCCTGCACAGCTCTTCCTCTGTAACCTCATTTCTGACTCCTCCCACACTGGGTTACATCTGCCAGCACTCTGGTTTCTTCTGCCTTTCTGAGCTGCCATTAGTCCTGGCAAGCTTGGCCCGGTGACCTAGGCTCCATGCTGCTCTCACCTGCACTGCAAGCCCCTCCAGCTACATAGCTTTGCAGATTAGAGTCAGGGCCCATCTCCCTTGCTCTAGCAGGAGCAGCTTTTAACATTACTAAAACATTGGCCAAGTTCTTTAGATGTGCCAAGTAACTCTTGAGTGACCCTGCTCCACTTCTCCCATCCTTCATCCTCCAATTGATAGCTGTGGGGATTTTCTCCATTTGGGGGGACTTCTGTCTCAGCACCCCATTACAGTTTGGTATCAGGAAGTATTGAGTTGGCCAAAAAGTTTGTTTTTTTGTCTGTGAGATGACTCTGGTAGCGTTTAGTTGTCTTTAACTTCATTTGAAACAGTGTTTTTTTGTTGTTTTGTTTTCATTTCAAATTTTAATTAAAGCTGTATATAAGATTACATTATCCCTGCATCTTCTCAATTGTTTCTTCCTTGTATTTGCCCTTCTCTTTTCCTACTTGGGGAGATTTGTCTTTATGTTCAAGGATCTTTTTGCGGTCTTTGTCCAGTTTTAGGCTAGTGATGACCACCTTGCTGGGGTAAATGCCCACATGAACAGTTGTACCATTAGCTTTCTCCCACTGCACTCGTTTGATATAGATGATGCATTTCTTCCTGTAAACCTGGACTACTTTGCCAATTTGCTGCCATTTGTAATATCCTCGCACAATGTGAACTTCATCATCCTTTCTGATGGGCATGGATCGAACATTGTACTTGTGTCTCAGCTCTTTCAAAAGAGAAGACATAATCTTCCTGCGAATGTGGGAAGGTGGATTGAAATGCCTTTTACGGTTCTTGCTCCAGTCAGAAGTCACAAAGGGACTGAACTTCATTTTGACCACTGGCGCCTCAGCGATGGCTGCAGGAGGGAAAGGCATTCGAAACAGTTTTGTTAGATTGTAGTGTGACAGCTGTCACATCAGCATGTATTTGAAAAAACTTAATCAAAAGTGGTGAATTTTTGCAGCCATTTTAATATTGAAGATGGAAGAAAGTAAGCAACATTTTTGGTATATTATGCTTTAGTATTTCAAGAGAGGTAAAAACACAACTGAAATGCAAAGAAAGATTTGTGCAGTGTAAAGAGAAGGTGCTCTGACTGATCAAATGTGTCAAAAGTGGTTTGTGTGGTTTCCTGCTGGACATCTTTCGATGGATGATGCTCCATGTTTGGGTAGACCAGTTGATGTTGAACACAATCAAATTGAGACATTAATTGAGAACAATCAACATTATACTACTCAGAAGATAGCTGACATACTCAAAATATCCAAATCAATAAAGTTCTTGGTGAAAATGAAAAATGTGTCTTTTATTTTATGGAAAAAAACATAGGAACTTTTTGGTCAACCCAATATGATTCCTCCAGCTTTTTTTTTTTTTTAGGATTATTTTGGCTATTTGGGGATCTTTTTGTGGTTTCATAAAAATTTTAGGATTGTTACATTTCTGTGAAAAATGCCATTGAAATTTTGGTAGGGATTGTGTGAAACTGTAGATTGCTTTGAGTAGTATGGGCAATATTCTGATTCATGAACGTGAGATACCTTTTATTTTCATCGTCTTCAATTGCTTTTGATCAGTGTACTTTTTTTCCCTCATGCACTCTGATGGCATTTCCTCCTTTACTTTTTGGGGCAACATACATCACGTATGCATAAGCTAGCTGTTCAGAGATTTTAATGAAAATTATTGGGTGCTGTTGACTGAATTTCTGGAGTAATGGTGTGGATTTACTGTCATTTTGCTGAAAATTACCTCTCCAATCTTTCTTTTCCATTGCAAAGTAGCATCAGATTTTAGAGTTAGAAGGGATAGAGAAGTTCTCTAAGTTCCTCTTATTGTGATTGAGCAAGTATGTTTGCCCAGTGAGGGCCGAGTGAGAATAAGAAGTAGAGTTTCGTGTCTAATGCCTTGGTATTTTTTTAAGCTTCTAGTGCCCCAATTTTGGGAGTCCCTATTTCAGATGAGTAAGAGTTGTTTTCATTTCAGTGTTTATGTAGCCATTGATTTTTTTTTTAAAAGATAAATTGATTTGTAAATTCAAAATACATTGACATTTATGAGTAGGTATTTGCTGTTGTCCGACAATAACCCAAATCAATATAGTCTAATATTCTAATGGAAGGATTTACTTGAGGGTAAGGTAATTTAACATATGTGAAACTTGTGGGGAAAACCTCTTTACACCCACCATCCAGCTCAGTTATTATTAGTTTGTGACTGTTCTTGAGAAACACTTTTAATCTTGGTAATTTTTAGGCTTTGTCTAACTGTGGAAGAAATCTAGGCATATTTTCAATCACTTACAGGAAGCGTTTTTGTTTTTCTGCAGTGTTTCCTGAGGGTATAGGCGGGTGTTTGAAGAGTACATGCGGGTTATCAGCCAGCGGTACCCAGACATCCGCATTGAAGGAGAGAATTACCTCCCTCAACCAATATATAGGTAAGTAAATTTTAGTAACATAAAAGGAAAAGAATTTGACTTTATAAAATTAGTGAAGTAGTTTAATTAGCTTTCCTTGGTTATGGTCATTTCTTTGCTGCTTGTAATAACATACAGAGACCACTGTCTATAAATAGCAAATACAGAAGAATTTTTCTGTAAAAAGGGAAATAGATTCATTTTCTAGATGACATTCCTTCACAAGATGTGAGGGTTTTTTTCTGTACTTGCTATTGTGGCGATTGACTGTGAACTCCAAAATTTTTATAGTCAATGGTATAAAATTCTGTATTGTTAATAGTATTTTTTTAAAGGCCAATGCTATGTACTGTTGTATATAATCCTATAGGTTAATTTTTAATTGATTTAATATATAGAAAATGTTTTTATTTTAAAACTGTACAGGAAACTAATTACTATATTTTTCACTAGTTATAATTAATAACTTAGATTTGGTGTCTGGAAAATGTCTATACACATATACTTGAGTTATGACATTTTGAAGTAAATGAGAAATTATGGCTTCTGATGAATATTTCTTTTCTTTTGATAGACACATAGCATCTTTCCTGTCAGTCTTCAAACTAGTATTAATAGGCCTAATAATTGTTGGCAAGGATCCTTTTGCTTTCTTTGGCATGCAAGCTCCTAGCATCTGGCAGTGGGGCCAAGAAAATAAGGTATGTAACTTAATAGCTTTGGCAGCACTTAAGTTTTTAGGTTGGCAATGAATGCATTTTAATAAATTTTTTTAAAGTACTTGTTGCTGGTTCACCTGATTACATACTTTTTTTTTTCTCCCTAACTTAAACCACTTTTTGTCTCTGGGCAAGGCATTTAACCTCCTTTGGCCTTAGTTTTCATATTTCTTTAAGAATGATTAGGTTTTACTTTTTATTATTTGAAGGATAGGAACATGTTACTTTAATAGAGCCTGGGCACAATGTCACTTAATATGTGATTTTGATTATATATTGTAACTAGAACTGATCATATCTAGCAAAGCATAATATATACATTATGTACGTCTTTTATACCAACTGATATAGATATTAATGGGTTTATTCACATTAAAAACAGGATTTGAATAGTTCTTATCAAAACATACACACACATTCTGTTTATATTATTTGTCCTTTGACCCTGTTCATGGTAAATCCGTTGAGCAAATTACCTGAAACAATCACTACATACATAAAAGTCTTGTGCTTTTTTTTTTTTTTTTGGTAGGATCTTGGCTACAGCATACATTTTTTTCATCTGTTTTACTTAAAGTCATCTTTTTTGGAGGGTCTACCTTTCTGCTGTAAGAGATGGGACTAATTTTTATTTCTCTCTTGATGAGATGATTTCCTTCTAAGAAGCATTATTGTTTGAAGTCCTTTGTGGCCTTGTCCTCCTGGGCTGAGACTACCTTTAGCTGACTCCTACATAGCTGTACTTTTTCTCAGGGAAGTACTTGTTTCTCATAACAGGTAAGGCCTCTTGAGATAAACATCCTCAAGTGGTACTACCTCTAATTGAAATGTATCTCTCCCCTGTTATTAACAAAACTTGATTTGTGTAGAGTTAAGAATTGGAAGTTAAGTACTCATTGATAAGTTCTTTATATTTATTGACTTCAAAATATTTTGATGCATTTTACTTCCATAGATTCATAAAATTGTTGATCTACTGTGGAAGATGAATGAACTTGAAAATGTAGTTTACATGCTGCTCACTTATATACTGTTCCCCTGAAAGTAGACTTTTATTCCAAAATGCTGGGGTAACCTCTATGAAATCAAAGCCCACCTAGCTCAAGTGGCAGGGAAAGACCTTTCTCATTAGCTTTGGGCATTTTGATTTATTTTTCTTAAACATATTTCTGTGAGTTGACATCCTTACTACATCCTACTTTTAGTCAGGCGATTTTGTTAAAATTTCACCATCCATCAGGGATTTTCTAGTCTTTGGGGGGGAGGGGGTATAGATTTGTCTTCAAAGGTAAATGAATGTAATTTAATATGCCAGTGCTTTCTAACCTACTTTTTTCCTTAGTTTGTCTTTTGGATTCCTGGGCCCAATTTGTGTGTATGTGTGTGTATAGGAGGGTTCCCACCACACCAACAATTACTGGACATCAACAGGGTGTCTGAGAATTCAACTCAATTCTTATGCTTATCTAACTGAAGATAACATCAGATTCCACCTGTTAAGAATTCAATCCTACAAGACACCCACCCACCACCACCACCACCACCACCACCACCACACACACAAGTGCGCGCGCGCGCGCAATTCAGATACCATTTGGAAGCCCAGGCTGTTACCTGTGCTTCTGATCAATGGGCTACAGACTGGAGATTCCCATAGCCACCTCCATGGGTTTGTTTAATTTGCTAGAGTGACTCACAGAACAACTCCAAAGAAATATTTTACTTACTAGATTACTAATTTGTTATAAAAGAATATAACTCACAAACAGCCAGATGGAAGAGATGCATAGGGCAAGGTATGTGGGAAGGGAGCTTCTACATCCTCTCCAAGTGTACCATTCTCCTTGTATCTTTATATAAAGGTTCACCAGCCTGGAAGCTCTTCAGTCCCAGTCCTTTTGGGATTTTTGTGGAGATTTCATTACATAAGCATGATTGATTAAATTACTGGCAACTAATTTGACCTCTAGCTCCTCTTGCCTTGCTTGAAACTGAAATTGACCACCACTCTAATCACATGGCTGGCTCTCCTGGCAACCAGCCTGCATCATTAGGTATGGTTCAAAAATCATGTCATTAACAAAAGAAAAGACACTTTATCCATTACCATGACTTAGGAAATTCCAAGGATTTTAGGTCCTCTGCCAGAAACTGGGAGGAAGACCAAATGCATATTTCACAGTTTGACTTAAAATGACTTGTTTGGAACATGGACAGATTGTATTGAATACATAGAGTTGCTGATTGTTGCATCAGTAGTCTCTTGTGAATTCATTCATTATGTTATAAAAATAGTAAAATGAACCCTTCTTATTCTGGCATTCTTTCATTAAACTTACTAAGGCTATTAGGAGATCTCTAGAAATTCTGTTTCTACATCATGATTATCGTGTAAGTTCTTCAGTGTGTATAGAGTTGTGCATTAATGTCGCATTTTTCTTTTTCTGTGTATATTTATTGAACATATGAAACAGCAGTAATAGTTTGTATAGAAACTTTTAAAGTAGAATTAAGAAACAATTATCAAATACAATGAGGCTATTTAAAGGTTACTATGTCTTAAGTTGTCATGTTGTTTTGATTTCAAGATTACTTTTCCTATATACTTAATTATATTTTCTTTTAGGTCTATGCATGTATGATGGTTTTCTTCTTAAGCAACATGATTGAGAACCAGTGTATGTCAACAGGTGCATTTGAGATAACTTTGAATGGTGGGTTATGAATAGTTTGCATTCTGTGATAAATTTTAAGTGATTTAGAATGACCATCAGGCTTTTTTATTTTTCATAATATACTGAGTTATCTCTCTGTATGGTCTTCCTCTATTCTCATGGCTTTAAAAAACATCTGTATGATGACCCCGAATGTATAGTTCTAGAGAGCTCTAGGTCTCTCTTCTAGATGCTATACCCAGAAATCTCCTACCGCCTAATTCCTACTCCCAAACTGTTGACTATGTCTGCTTCCTGTAATTCTTGTGTACTCCAGTTTGCGCTTTACCTGGCATTTCTCATTTATTTAATGGCACCAATACCATTCTACCCAGTTGTCTATGTTAGAAACCTAGGGTGACATGACTTTCTCCCTTACTCTTTATACTTAATGGATTACCAAGTCTTCTCAGTTCCACCTTTTACATTTTTCAAAAATCTACTCTTTTATTTTTCATTGGTGCCACCCTACTCTAAACTATAATTATCTTGTTACCTTTTAATACATTCTTTAAACCAGAGGTTGGCAAATGTGGTTGGTCTGTGAGATAACAATAGTTTTTACATTTTTAATTGTTAAAAAATAAATATTTTGTGATACATAGAAATTATATATGAAATTCAAATTTTAGTGTTTATGCTTAAAGCTTTGAGTTTCATCAATGAAAAAATTTTGGAAATTTAAATTTATTTCTCTAGTTGTATGAGTACCTATATTGATATTTTGCCTCTTCCTCATAAAGCTGAAAATATTTACTCTCTGGCTTCTTACAAAAAAAATTTTGCTGACACATGCTCCAAACAGAGTAGTTTTTAAAAAATGCACAGTTCAACCCTGGCCATTATGGCACTCTGCTGGTTGGACCATTGTCCTGTAATCCAAAGGGTCATGGGTTCGATTCCTGGTCAAAGCACATGCCTAGGTTGTGGGTTTGGTCCCCATTGAGGCACTTACAGGAGGCAGCAGATTGAAGTTTTTTTTCTCACATTGATGTTTCCCCCCACCCCTTCTGTTCTCTCTAAAATCAGTAAGTATGTCCTTAGGTGAGGATAAGAGAAAGAAAAATATGTAAAAGGCACATTTCATCTTATTGCTTCAATGCCTTAAATTTATTAAATGTGTTCACTTTGTTTTCAAAGACCAGAACATTTAACATGGCCAAAAGACCCCCTGTATGATATAGCCTAAAGATCAGCAAACCCTGGCCGGAGGCCCATGTCCCATGCTGCCTGTTTTGTAAAGAAAGTTTTATTGGAGCACAGCCATGCCCCTTCATTTATGTATTGTGTGTTGCTACTTTCAGGCTACCATGAGAGTTGAGTAGCTGTGACAGATTATGTATCTATTCAAAATGAAATATTTCCTACTATCTGTCCTTTTAGAGTTTGCTGACCCCTGATCTAGTCTCTGCCTACTTCTCCAGCCTCCCTCATACCAGTCTTCTATATTTCAGCTATCTCTAACTTTTAATTATATAATCTCACTTTTATATTTAAATTTTTAAATATATTTTATTGATTTTCTTTTTTAGATGGAGGGACAGGATAGGGGAGAGAGAGAGAGAAATGTCCATTTGTGGTTCACTTATTTATGCATTCATTAGTTGATTCTTATATGTTCCTTGACTGGGGATCAAACCCACAACCTTGGCATATTGGGACAATGCTCTAACCAACTGAGCTACCTGGCCAGAGCTAATCTCTCACTTTTAATAATAGTAAGTGCAACGATGCCTTTCCAGCCTCTCCTATCTCCCTCTCATAGTATCTTCTAATTTTAATTCTTATTTTACAATTGTGATTTTGTAGCTATTTGTGTAGTTCTTTTTGTATTCCCCTACTTGAATATTAAACTCCATAAGAGCAAGAAGGTTAATTCTTTTGCTCACTTTTGTATTCATAGCTGTGTACATAGACAGTAAATATTTGTGGAAAGAATGTTCATTACAGAATCATCTTTAATTGGGGGTGCTGGTACCATTTATTTTTATAGATGTACCTGTGTGGTCTAAGCTGGAATCTGGTCACCTTCCATCCATGCAACAGCTTGTTCAAATTCTTGACAATGAAATGAAGCTCAACGTGCATATGGATTCAATTCCACATCATCGCTCATAGCCCCACCCATCAGCACTGAAAACTCTTTTGTAAGTAGTTTAACAATATAAGAACTATGTATACATATTAGTTAATTCTCATCACAAATCAGCAAGACACTAGATATTGCATAAATTACCACTTGAGTTTCCATCTTGGGATTTAATGGATGGATGTTTTCTTCATTAAAGTTTAGAAGAGGTCAAGGGAATTTGGGCCTGCCAAAATAAAGTTGTACTGCTATCTTCAAGGCTTAATAATTGGGCTTATAACATCATTTTTAACTACAAATTTCTAATGGCCAGACTGATACATTATAATACTAGGATGTTTATATATATATGTATGTATATCCCCATATTTTTGGACTATAAGATGCATCCCTACCAAATTTGGGAGGCATAATGACTGTTAATGCTGCTGTTGAGTTCTGTTTACATTTACATTGGTGAAATATTATGTTATTAAATATTTTACCACATTTTTTGCTTCAAAATTTCTTTTCCTATTTTCCTCTAAAACCTAGGTGCATCTTATGGTCCTAAAAATATGTGTGTGTGTATTCTCTTCTTACCTTCAAATAACTAGTTCCTAAGGATATGCAAATTCTTTTAACATGCTCAAGATAGACAATTTGTAAGCCAATAAAATGAACATAGATAAATTTTAACTTTTGCTAGGCAGAGATATTCTCAGGTCCTCTCTGATCAAGAATTGATTTTATAGGAGTGAAGTTTGAAATAAAATATTCTTTTTTCTCTGTCTTTCAGACATTAAGGGATTTTTGCAAGAGCAGCGTGACTGACATTATGAAGGCCTGTACTGAAGACAGCAAACTGTTAGTACAGACCAGATACTTTCTAGCAGGCTCGTTGTACCTCTTGGAAAACCTCAATGCAAGACAGTTTTTCAGTGCTGGCACATTTGGAATTCTGCACATTCGTGGAGTGCAATAATACTGTATAGTTATTTTTTTCTCCCCCAAATCCACTGAATTAATAGTTCTTTAAAAATGTAAACATTATTTCTTGTACTTTTTTCCTTAGTCATATTTGAAAATATAGCAAAATGAGTTAGAATTTGTTTTTTTCCCCAAAGATGTCTGTTAAATTTGTTGTGATTTTATATGAATTTTCCTTTTTTATAGTTTATTATTGATCTTTTTGGGAATATAGTTAAGTTCTCAAATACTTTATAAGAGTTTATCAGACATCTCTCATTTGGTCATGTCCAGTTTATATAGGTTTCAAAATACTGCAGATTGTGAACAGTGCGCTATACAAAATTACGGGGGGCAGAAATCCTATATGCAGAGTACTCTACCAATTTGTGTGTATGTGTGTGTGGGTGTGTGTGACTACCAGAGAACTACTAAAAGACCAACTACTTTTTAAATCCTGTTATAGTTCAAGTGTCTTGCATTGACCAATCTAATGAGTTAATTAACTGGGCCTTTATACTCAACTCAATAAAAATCTAAGTGAATATAAATTAAATAAAAACTTTGAATTTATTGCCCAGCGTACCTGTTAACATTATATTTAACAATCATCTGCTTAAATTTTTTTGACTTACAGATAATTTCATAAGGGACACGCTTTAGATTCACACACAATAATAGGTAATTTACCATTGATGCTCATCTCACTAAAGAAAATGCAGTTGAACCTCTTTACAACAGCAATGTTAGATGAATGGAGATCACTTGTCTAATTTAACTCAACTAGTGTATCAGAATATTATTGTATTTGAGTAACAGAATTGGGAAAAAAGTTACTCAGTGAATTTAATATCTTTTCAGAATTCTAAAAAAACAGTGAGAGTAATTTAGCAGAAATAGGACCATAAAGTAGAAAAATAGTCGTATAACAACAGTTATCACATACTGTGGCCTCCATATAGGAATAGAAGTGGTAGGTCCAAAGGGATTTGTGAAGAGTTATGAGATAATTCAACACTGGGTCCACCAAACACTTAGCACAACCATATACTTTGTCATTGAGTATTTGTTAAATGCATGGAATATACTGTAATCTCTGGCTGACAAGAAGTTAGTCTGCAGAAAATTGATTAAAATGGCTTATCTTTTTAATTAGGACTGAAGAGCTGTTAACCTAAGTTCATATAGTGGCAAGAGTGAATACAAACAATTTAAGCTGGGAAGTTCCTTACAGGTTACTATTATTCAGGTGTAATAACATTTTGTTACCTTTGACTAGGGCTAAAACTTCGTTAACTTGATTTGTACCAGCTCAAACTTGTTAACTTCTGTAAGTTGAACATACTGCTGAGTGTGTCTACGGTCTTCTTCAGCGGATGGACATTCTACTAGTGACAGTTAACCTTTTAGCATTTAGACCTTTTGTCCTCAAGCCTTGGCTGTTCCCGTGTACCTGTCAGGTCAACTGTGAAGAACCTAAAATTTGACTTTAACTTTTTCCATGTTTGCCTTGGGTGAATAAATTGTCTTTTGGAGAATAGCTTTAGGTAGCTTAGACTCTGATAAAACTCAGCTGTTTTATTGATAGCTATCTCAATATTGTTGTTTTATCTTTAGCCATATTTAAATCTAGGATTTAATGGAGTTTAGTGGAAAAAATAACAGTTTAGTGGGAAGCATAAATATAAAAAGATTTAAGGGAAAAGGGAAAAGCTTAAATGAAGCTATTTAGAATATAGTTTTATTCCTAACATTTCAGAATTTATTAGTTGCTTACAAATTTTTATGTCTATGTAGTTTATAAATGTCTATGTACTATATTAATTAGAAGACCATAGACTATGACAGCAGGTTGGCTAGTATTATTGAGGTTTTTACCACAGTTGCTATTGTGGAAGAATTATTTGTTAGATTAATAAAAAAAATGTTGGCAAACCATGGCTTTATACCTCGGTATCAAGACGTGCAGAACAAATATGCTTTCAGAATATAAATTCATTATTTACTTACGGTACTTATATTAACAACAGTAATTGATCAAACTTTACCACTATCAATATATAACAGGATCCCAATGATGACTCTTATTTTGAATGTTTTTAGTTTGGGACTTTGATTGTTGGCATTTTATCATTGTCATACTTTTAAATAATTCAGATTTTAAAAATAGCCTACAAAGTTTTTAAGCATGATTTGATATTTAATAATAAAGCTTTTTAAAATTTTTTTGAGAGAAATGTGAGGAATTGTAAAGTTTGGGGCTTACCTCTCTAGCATTGTGAAAATAAACTTTTATTAAGCTCATGTGAAAGGAACCCCTCTGCTGTGGAATTAAATCTGTGCTAGAGCACTTTAGACTTTAACTATATATGGAAAACATTATATTGTAACAGCTTGTGTCCTCAGCATTTACTTTATAATGGCTTCTTAAACCAACCAGTGCTAACCCAAAGTCTGTCTCTGAAGTCTTACCACTCTTGGACCTTCAACTACTTCTCCAGTCTACAGTCCACTTGTGTTTCAATGTTGCTGAGCTATCATCAGCTCTGAGATGGCTTCTGTTCTTGGGGTGAGACAGAAAGGAACAGTTTACAGCATTGTTCATCTTTACCCCCAAGCTCCACAATTCTGAGAAAGTCATACTATCATCTCTAAATCTGGAGAGAAAAAAGAAGGGCGTTCGTTTTCCTCTTGATTGGCATAGACAATTAAGAGAGAGCAAAGTTCCGATATTTTTTTAAAAAATCAGCCGAGCCTTTTTTCTTCACAGTCCCTGGCTCCTTTTCCCTAGAAGCACATAAAACTAGACCTGTCTCTGAACAGAACCCTGAAGAAAAATACAAACTGATCTTACCTACTGTGGGATGAGTGTAAGTCACCCACTCTCAGTCAAGACTTAAGAATGTCTTCTGTTGCCTAAGCTAAACATGAACGAAGTAAAAAGAAACAATGTGATAACTCTAAACATACTACAGCAAGCAGTAGTTTTAAGACTCAAGTGTGCCTAAGAACATTGGTACAAATCCCTGGATCCCATCCTTAGAGATGCTGATTCACTTGGTCTGAAATGGGCCCTGGTAATTTGCCTTTCAACCAGTTTTCATAATGCCGAAGCCCTTAGTCTGTGGTTCACACTGAGGAGCAGAGTACCACAGAACAGAGTGCTACAAGACTTAGGACTCAACCTGGAAGAAAATGGAGCTCATGAAACACAAGAAAATTTTGCAGAATTTGCTTCATGTTTATAGAATGACAGAATGACTCAATAAGAACAAGAATTCAGTAAAATAGGAACTCAAAAGAGAAGCAATGAGATGAGAGGAAGATTATGTAATTTCTTAAAGATTTTATTTATTTATTTTTATTTTTATTTTTCAGGGAAGGGAGGGAGAAAGGAAGGGAGAGAGACATCAATACATGGTTGCCTCTTGCACGCCCTGTACTGGGGACCTGTTCTGCAACCCAGGCATGTGCCCTGACTGGGAATTGACCTGGTGATGTTCGCAGGCTGGCACTCAGTCCACTGAGCCACACCAAGCAGGGCGGAAGATTATGTATTTTTTAAATGTTTTTTCTATTTTTCAATTACTGTTGACATTCAGTGTTACTTAGTTTCAGGTAAGATTTTGTTTCTAAGGAAACAGGTTAGGACTTAGTTTAATAATGCAACATTTTAAAAAATCTGTTGGGTTAGTATTTTAACTCTTTTGAAAGATGTTTTAAGAGGAAATGTTAAATCTTTGAGTGTAAAATAACTTGTTTGAATTGCTATATTTTCTCAGAGTAAAGCAGGCAACATGATGCTTACATTTTTTAGTGACAACTGACCTTTATATTCACATAAAACAAATCGTTAATTTTCATAGTTTCACATAGAGAAATTACATAGTTCTTATTTTATTCTACTAATCATAGTAGTGCTCTTTAAATTACTAGGAAAACCCAGACTGAGCTTAATTAAGCCCTGCCCCCCCCCCCCCAATAAAGGATGTATTGATTCATGTCACTAAAAGAAATCCAATGTAGAGTTGGCCTCTGGGATTCAAATATGATTATCAAAACTCTTCATCTAAGTTGGCATTGTTTCCCTATGAGCCTCCATCATAATTGGGGAGAAGGTTGTGTGAGACTAGGGAGGGTAGGGAAGAAATAAGAAATCAAGTCTCATTAATGTATTCTGGTGCAGCTTGGGTCACATTTCTATCTTTGGACTCTGTTTCTCATTTGATAGCCATTTAAGTCACTTTGTCATCTATTAACTCCTCTATTTATTCCCTCCACTCCAGTTCCTTAATCATAATTGCTTAATATAAGTTTTGTGGTTATAAGTTGCTCAGATCATTTTCTTTGCTATTTGGGAATTATCTGGAATGGGTAGAGGTAGCATTGGGTTGCTTGACTTTGTTAATATAGAACAAAGTTGGTTGGCAGGTTGCTACCAACATTCCCTTGGGACACTGGCTATACTTATTTAGTTTGTGTACTAGCAACTCTTATTAGAAAAAAACAGCAATTGTTGCTGCTTTGTTTACTGTTACTCTTGAGTTGCTAAGAGCAGGTCTGTTTGCAGGGAAATGTATTGATGGCATATTTCTCCTAAACATTAAAAAATGCATGTATTAGAAAATGCTGCTAGATTTCATTTTTTAATAGCCTATGGGATCTGGAGATGACACACTATTTTTATGGTATTGAAATACAGTTTGATTTTTTTTTTTAATGTACTGCACAGCTGCAGCACAGTCCATTTCTCTGTCAGGCCGGACATTGGTGTTGAAAGGAATGTAACTGCCATCCTTTTGAGTGCTTTGATGGAACCTCAGATGTTTGACCCCTGGCCAGGGGTCTGGGATTTCATATTATTGGAGGGATCATTGTATCCTTGGGGGCTGCAGCTTTCTATGAGATTGCTGTGGCTGAACCAAGAAAGTCATACACAGGTTTTGACAAAAAATTGTGATTCTGTTGCTGGACCTGCCCTAGCAGAGTTTGGGAGCTTTTGTGTGTCAGGCTCTTGACTTGTGCAGGAAAGATTTCAAGAAAGAGTCGAACTGAGAACAACAGCAGGTTTTATTCAGGTAGAGACAAAGGCCAGGATGCAGGCTGACTTAAAGTGAATTGTGCATGCTCTCAGTTTTGAGGATTTTATGTGTTCCCAGTTTTTTTAATTTTCTGGTGCCAAGTCTGACCCCTCCTTTGGTTGGGAGGGCATGTTTTTCCTAATGTGGCCTCTTCCAAAAGTGTCATGTCTTTCACCCCCCTCATCACCCCTTCTTGTGGTGGTGGTAGCATAGTATGAAGTTAGGAAAATTCCTTGGCAAATGGAATGAGGGAACCTGAGGCAAAATAGTTAAGGCTGAGCAATTAACAGCCTGCTAATAAATCACCAGATCTTATCATCCCTAATCAAGGACACTTCGGAGCAGATAATTTATACCTGTTCTCCCAAGCAGAGTGGGAGTAGCTTATTAAATCACCCTGGTCAGGTAGATAAGTAACAGAGACCCAGTTGATGCCATTAGTGCCAGCCAAACTCCAGAACAGATGAAGT